CCACGTGAAGCAAGCCGATGTACGGCTGATTTTAGTCGGTGTACGGCTGAAATCAGCCGTACCAGCCTGAGGTGAATAGCCGAACAGTGTTCGGCTCACTTCACTTCAGATCGGTCATTCACTCGGCTGCCCTCGGCAGCTTAGTGAATAGACCCCATATTAAGCTATGCATTATAGAGCTTAGCAACATATAGTAAGCTATGCATTATAGAGCTTACCTGTATATAGTAAGCTTTGCAATATAAAGCTTAGCAATATATAGTAAGCTTTGCATTACAGGGCTTACCAATATATAGCAAGCTTTATATTGTAAGTCAAGTCAACTGGACAAAAAAGTCAAGGCAACTGGATTCAAGAAAAATACAGCACGTCCAGTTGACTTGACTTATTTTTTACCGATATGCATTATAGAGCTTAGCAATATATAGTAAACTATGCATTATAGAGCTTAGCAATTTATAGTAAGCTATGCATTATAGAGCTTAGCAATATATAGTAAGCTACGCATGATAAAGCTTAGCAATATATAGTAAGCTATGCATGATAAAGCTTAGCAATATATAGTAAGCTATGCATTATAAAGCTCAGCAATATATAGTAGGCTATGCATTATAGAGCTTAGCAATATATAGTAAGCTATATTCTATATACATATACAGGAGGGCAAACATGCACATACATTTCTATGAACATAATAAAACATGCATATAGATGTTTTTGCTGCAAAGCGTCCTATATCAGTGATTTTCAATGTATGATAAAAGAACGCTCGCACACAACCCTGGGGGATGAGCCATGAAATATGCGTGGTCAGTGTAAATGTTGTGAAGAGATTAGAGCAGCACACTGCTTATCATGATCCTGCTGTGATCACTGCAGCCAAATGCTTGTCACACTACTTACGGTAGCAGTGCATTGTGTCTTCATGGCCAGGGGCAGGGGAGGGCCTATCAACAAGGAAGTGGCTGCAATGCACCATGGGGTTTGTAGTCAGCACATGGAAGAAGCACATTCTCACTGATCATGTGTCTACAGTGCCTGTACTGTTTCCTGCATAGAGGACATCGGACAGAAACAAGTGAGTAGCAATCGTAGACTTAATACATGTTACAGATACAGCATAGGGCACACAAAAAATGCTGCTGCTACTATGTTTCGTATGTAGTTTACTTTCTCTCTGAATGCAAACACACATGTAAAGGCTATATTCACATTACAGTGTGCTGTATTGTAGCAATACAGGCACTAAATTGCAGTAAAGCACAGCAACACCTGGTAAAATGCATGCTTGGAGCATGTTCACACGGTGTCTATTGAGCTGCGTGTTTATGCACACCACCAAACATGTATACAGGGCACATAGGAAACAATTGTTTTCTAAGTGCCCTGTTCACCCTTTACATGTATATGTGTGCAGAAAAATAAAGTTCAACAGCAATGGTGTGAACAAACCCTAAAGAAGCACTGTAGAATCCTTCTTCATTTTATTTTTTTAAAATATTATACTTTTTGTGGTTCCCCCTCCCCTGTCTGCCTTTTGATGTCCTGGGTCTAATTCCTATGTAATCTCCGTGTTGGAGAATTCCCACCCCTTGGTGATCTAATTTTCTGCTGACATTTTTTGGAAATTAGAATCATGCTGATATTGAGAGGATTAAATAATGGAGTTTGAACTAGATACAGCACATTAGGTCATTTACAGAGGCATCAGGTGATGGAGTCAATGTACAGGTTGCATACAGTGGCAAGATTAAGATGAAAGGGTTAATGTGCAGGATAAGGGAGATGTATATTTACCCTTCAGGTCACAATGCAGATGGAGATTGGGAGTTTGGGAAAGGAGGGACAGTGAAAGGGTTGAAAAAAAAATTAGTCTGTATGTATGAATGAATGAATCAACTGCTGCTGATCCATTAATTCCTTCCCCATTCACAAATTACTATGATTCTTTTCCACCAAGCCACTTGGATTGTATTGTCTTGGTACACAGAGATTAGTGGGCCCCAATGGCTATTTCTGTAATGATGTTTTTAGGGCTGCAAGTAATGATTATTTTCATAATCGATTAGTTGGCCAATTTATTTTTTCAATTAATCGGATAAAAAACCCCCAACCCATCTTTTATTTAAAATACACAAATAGAGTGTTAGAAACATAAAGTTTACTGCAGAATAAAATTGCACGCACAATTTTTTTTGCAATCGCACTGCACTGAAACGCATGGCATTGCAGTACCGCGCAAAGCAGAATTTGTCAGGCCGAAACTGTAAATGGCTTTCTTCTAGGGATGCACCGATGCCGATACTGGTATCGGTATTGGTGCCTATACCGAGTATTTGGGCGAGTACTCGTACTCGCCCAAATACTTCCGATGCCTATCCTGACGCAGGAACTTATGGTATCAGGAAGCCGACTTCATGCTCCTTTGTCACCAGGGAGCATGGAGTTGGCTTCCCGGCCAATTCATTTTTTTAAAGCACCACTCCAAAGCTAAACCTCCACTATGGAGCTTAAATATTGAGGTTGAATTTACACCCACCAATGTCCATATCATACTGGCACAAATAATCCCAGTTACTTACCTTTTTATTTGCTATTGGCGCTAAGAGGCAAATCTGATTATCTTTTATGTTGATGGTTTCTTGCTTGTTTTGTTGCTTTTGAGGGAAAGGGGGTGGTTACCTGTTCTCATGTATAGTTGAAATATTATTAACATATACAGTCCTTGTTATTCCATTTGTAATACAATTTTAAAAAGCAAGTTTAGTTTATTTACATCTCTAGAGAACTTAAAGTGTATTGTGAGGATAGAAGGATTCCCATTCCACCTCCTTCTGTCCACTGGGTCTGGGTGAGTGTGTCCAGTGGAAGCCACCACGGGAGAGGGCAGCAGGGGAGGTAGAGTCAGATTCCTGAAGCCAGGTTTCAGTAACTGCATGTTAAAGGAATTGGAGTTGAGAAGATCATGCACAGCGATTTAGTTTTTTACAGACAGAGCATGAGAAGGAAGGACTGGTTCTAGGAAGCGGGGGAATAGAAATCAGGGTGCGTGGATTGCAGCGGCTGCTGCTAGAGAAAATGTAGATGTAGTGCTGATTTGGAGGGTGAATATTAGAAAACAGAGGGCCTGGATTGGGAGAGATAGTCAGTGTGAGTAAAGTGAGATGAGATTGAGTTTTATATGAGCGAACATGCCCCAGTGTTCAGGAGGTAACCCTAGCATGTGGATTCAAAATGAGCAGGAGGTGATGTGTGCAGTAATAGGGAGAGGGTAGGAGAGAAGGGGAAATGTATAATCTGTTGGGTGGAGAGGTGGGGGTGTAAAAGAAAAATTGAGTTTATGCAGAGAAGCCACAATTGTGAGAAGCAATGGAAGGAAACACACATTAAGAAAGGAAAGTAGATATCAGATTTTAAAACAGATATGTGGATGGGGTAAACAGGATTACTTGGAGTCTGTCAGGAGCACTGCTGCTCTATAATTGTACCTTTTTTTAAGTGCTTTATCCATACACTTGTTAAAACATAGACACTTTGCATAACATGGACATTGCAAAGTGCCTATGCCCCCTGGCACATCCAAATTTATAGGACTATGGGGAGGGGGTGCATACTAATTAATCAATTAGAAAATTATAAAAGACACAGGGATCAAAAGCAAAGTTTTCACACTAAGAGAATATATAGACAGGCCATAAAGATAAAGTTGCCTTTCAACCAGTTGCCGTCCGCCCGTTGATAATGTCAGTCAAAGTACTGCAGTGCTGAATACTGAAAAATGGCCTGGATGGGAAGGGGGTGTTATACCGCGGACTTCAACTGGTTAAACAAACAACAGGAAAGTGAGTAAATGTCAATAAAGTGGGCATCAAACGTACAACAGGATAAAAAGTTGCAGTTATGTTGTTATAGACAGACAGCAGTTGATTCAATATGGAGCAGAGATTAGATGTGCATACCTTGCTTATCTTAATTTATATCACAGGAGGCTCAACCCCTTTTGTAATTGTATTGCGGTAGTGCTGGGTTCTCTAAACTGAGACATCAGGATACAGGTAGATCTGGGTTCTGCCTATCTAGAGGCAGAGCCAGCTGTACCCTCCCCCGTCCGTTCCGCCAGTCAGCGCTGAAGGATCGGACGGGGGGGGGATCCCTGCATAGAGCCGTGAGTGACAGTAACGGCTCTCTGCAGGGATAGATCGAGAAGTGAGCGAGTGCCGGTATGTGTTCGCTCACTTCCCAATCTACTGAGCCGACCTGTGACAGTTTCATTGTCACAGGTCGGCTCAGATTATGAGGCTGAGGGAAAATCACTTGCCTCATAATTCTCCTTTTAATGCCTCTTTTGCCTCCAGCCCATACAGATCTTGGATGCAGGGTCCCTGATATGTATGATGCCTGGCCAATACCGTCAGATTTGTTAATCCCGAGCTATGGGCACTTCTGAGTTCATTTAATACAGTACTCTGATTGCCACCTCTCTCCATTCTGAATCTCTCTACTGTCGTCCCAGGCTCACAAATAAGGCAGGTGAAGCCATAGATCACGATAGAGGGAGCAACTTGCTTGCCTGGCAGTAGGCTAAAAAAAAAGCCAAGTGGCGCGCTTGGCAAAAAAGCCCTGGGAAGAACCCTGTAATGTTAAAATGATACTAAACTCAGAAGTTAAATCTTAAAAATGCTTTAAAAAGAAAAATTGCCGCTGACACTGTCCTTTCATTAGTAGGGTGGTTACTTTTGTTCCCCCTGGTCCCTGTGTGTGTTGTAGTCACCACTCCATGATCTCCCTGATGGACTACAATCTCACTACAAATTAGTAAACTAAACATGAGTTTGTAGTCCATCATGGATTACTTGAAGTTTATGACTTATTTCTTCTAAATTAATTTGCAGATGGATTGTAGTCATCGTTAAGTGTGCAGCAATGTGGAGTTTAAGAAGGTGCATGAAGACTTTTGCATCAAGGTGAGTGTAATGCTGGTGTTTCAATACCCAGAGATATGACTTAAGCTTATATAGGCAGGGTCAATTGTCATCAAGAAACAAACAAAAAGTGTGTTAAGCGCACTACTGGTGGAGAAGATGTTAGTGGAAGAAATTGGTGTACTGTCTTCTTTAACAGGAGCCCTGAAAAACAATTGGAAAACAAAAGGAGCGCTACTACCTGAAAGAGATCACAGAAGTGTATTTGAAGCTGCTGCTGAGCCCAAGAGCCTAATGAACAGCCTCCCCGTAAGCTCTTTCCAATCATCTGTCAACCCGTCCATTTACTCCTCCCACCTGTCATTTTGAAAAAATCTCCCAGTCCCTCCAGTTCTTCTGCACAATTCGTACCCTGTTGGCTTGACGAAGAGGCATAGCGTAGCCTCCTTGCCTTTTTTACCATTACATGTGTATGGTCTCTTTGCACTAGGGCTGCAACAACTAATCGACATAATCGATTATAATCGATTATTGAAAAAGTTGTCAACTTTTTCAATCATCGATTAATCGGCTTCCAATTAGTTGGCCCTGTTCACAGCTCCACACACGCTGCGCGCCGCACCTCCTCCCCACCTCATGCTCGCTGCTGCCAGACCGGCCCGCATCCACGATCCACACGCTGCACCTTCTCACTGCCCGCCCACATCCACGATCGGCACAGGGACCCGGGGAGAAGTAAGGAGGAGCAGGTGTGGTGGGATGACAGCCGCCGATAGACAGGACCGATCTCAGAAGCAAGTTGCTGGAAGACTGCTCAGGTAAGCCTGCACTTTCCCCCACATGGTGCTCTATAATGTATTGCTGGGATTTGTATTCCTCTATAGCTGATGGTACATTGTGCTGTATATTATACCATCAGCTATAGAGGACTACAAATACCAGCAATACATCATACACTGTATGTATAATGTATTGCTGGGATTTGTTGTATTTCAATATAGCTGGTGGTTTTCTGCATTGCGCTGTATAGAGGACTACAAATCCCAGCAATAATACATTATACAGCGCAATGCGGAATACCACCAGCTATGGAGGACTACAAAACCCAGCAATAATACATTATACAGTGGTGCAATGCCGAATACCACTAGTTATAGAGGACTAGAAAACCCAGCAATAGTATACCAGGACTAGAATACCACCAGCTATAATGTACAATTGCTGGGTTTTGTAGTCCTCTATAGCCGGTGCCATTCTGCATTCATTGCTGTATAATGTTATACTTTTCATTTCACTATATTGTACACCACACTTTTTTTTTTTTTTTTACTTCCACCGCTCCAAGCTTGCTCCTGTGATGGACTGCAATCTCAATACAAACTAGTAGTCCCATCACTAGAGCCATTTAAAATGTTTTATTTTATCCGATTAACCGATTAATCGAACTCAATAATCGGCTAACTAATCGATTTTGAAAATAATCGTTAGCTGCAGCTCTACTTTGCACCCCCTTTGTACTTCCCTCCTCCCCGACTATATTTTATCAATAGCGGCACATCACTCCTGTGTGCCCGATGGCATGAGCTTCACTCGAGTAGCCGTCACGGCTCAGTCTGGCCAGCTGAGCTGTTTCCACCACAACATCACAGGATCGCTCAGCGCAAGTGACAGCCGCACATACAAATCAATTTTCATTCAGCAACCACTGACCCACTGAATATCATCTTCATTCATGGACCAAGTCTCCATACAACATTGAATAAAAGAAACACACTTTACAGAACAGGACCACAATCCCAATCTTCATCAGGATGGCAATTACTGTCACCATCCCAACAGTGAGTGATTCCTTTTCCACACCCATCACCATACGTTTCAAATATACTTCTATGATCTCTTTCAAGTAGTAGCGCTCCTTTTGTTTTCCAAGGGTCAATTGTCATGGACATCCTGGACATGCAAAGGACACAACTTAAATTACATGTTTTAAGATGAAAAATGAGAATACCGCCTGCTAACCCACCTCACAAATCAATATAATAAAAATAGGCCTTAAATACAGACACTGGCTGGGCACTGCACAGATGTCTGTTGCATCTTGCAGTGCGGCTGGCATCCCTTTGATTACCATGTGTGCACCTAAAGCTTCCATAGAGTATATTGACCTTTACTTGTTGACAGGCAAGATAATATACTTTGTGAACAATGCACCCATGTGCTCTAGTCAAGAAGAGGCCAGCTGTGTTGCAGGTTGCAAAAGAATCTTGATGGACAAGCCTTTATACTACACTGGTAGTACTACACTACACTGGTACATCGATGGTTGTCAAAAGGACACCTACTGCACTGTAGGTTGCTACTATGGCTGCATATGAAGTCTGTAATATTAAGAGTAGGGGCAGGGGAATTACACCTTTCCTTTACACTTTCCACAGACCTAAATTAAGTATCGCCTTTTTCTGGCCAGGAACTAGTCACGTGTTTTGTGGTGCAATCAGAAAACACCGCCTAACTATTCTTTAGGGGGACAATTGTTCAGACAGCTTTCAAAACCTTGTCTAATTAAATAAACAATAAAGGTGATCAGCGCCAGTAAGTGTAATGTGGAAATAAGAGCTACCAAGCACTAAGGATATAACTAAATATCTGGAAAATGTGAAAAACAATATTGTGCCGAGCTAATAATCATACAAATCTAATAAATTGAAACATATATAAATGAGTCACATATATGAGCCTTCAAACAAATGAGGCATAGAAAATATCTACACAAAGACAAAAAAGACAAAGACAAAAAACTTTTCAGCACCTGGTAAACAATATTTTCCGGGACTTTCTTGACCAATTTTTGATAGTGTATCTGGATGATATCCTTATTTTTTCTTCCTCTCTGATGCAGCATCGACAGCATGTAAGAGGGGTCCTGGCTAGACCGACTTTTTGGACTCTTTGCAAAAATTGAGAAATGTGAGCTAGAGAGACAGACCATTCGATTTCTGGGCTTTGTGATCTCGACTGCAGGTGTTGCTATGGACCCTCAAAAGGTGTCCGCAGTTCTGGAATGGCCATCCCCCAAGGACAAGAAAGGGGTGCAACGCTTTGTGGGCTTTGCCAATTTTTACAGAAAGTTTATCAAAAGAATTTCGGGCATTATAGCTCCCATCACGCAGCTGATCCAGAACACAGCCCCGTTTTCAATGGACGGATGCAGCTCAAATTGCCTTCACAGAACTGAAGGGGCTATTCACGTCTGCGCCCATCCTCAGACATCCAGAACCCGCATTGCCATTCGTCTTGGAGGTGGACGCATCGGAAACCGCAGCTGGTGCAGTGCTCTCTCAGAGGCAAGGTCCAAAGTCACTATGGCATCCTGTTGCCTTCTTTTCTCGCAAACGTAGCCTGGCGGAAAGGAATTATAATGTGGGTGATCGTGAGTTACTGGCTATCAAGCTTGCACTGGAGGAGTGGCGCTATCTATTGGAAGGGGCTGCACAACCAATCTTGATATTTACGGACCATAAAAACTTGGAATACCTGAGGTCAGCTAAACGTTTGAATTCCCAGCAGGCGAGATGGGCGTTGTTCTTTTCGAGATTCCTGTTCCACGTTACCTATCGCCCGGGTTCCAAAAACGTTAAACCCGACGCATTGTCTCGTGTATTTCCTGATTGCGAGCCGGCTACTGAACCAGATACGATCCTGCAGGCTGGCAATTTTCTGCTGCTCCAACCGGATCTCATCTCTCGGATTCGACAGGCGACTTCTACGGAGTCTGCCCCTTACAATATGGATGTATCTGAAGCTGATGGCCTGTTGTTGCATGAGGGGAGAATTTTTGTACCTCAGGGGCTTCCCACGGAGATATTAAAGGCTTGTCATGACGCTCCTTTGGTGGGGCATTTTGGCCTTCATAAAACTGTGGATTTTGGTCCAGCGTTATTTTTGGTGGCCCAACGTACGGACTGATTGCCGCAAGTATATCAATTCTTGCTTTGTGTGTCTATGGAATAAAGGGAGTCACTCCAAGGCCTGGGGATTACTGCAGTCATTACCTGTCCCTAATAGACCATGGAAGGACATCTCCATGGACTTTATTGTGGAACTTCCCCCCTCAGAACGCTACACGCGAGTGTTCGTGGTGGTGGATCGTTTCTCTAAAATGGCCCATTTCTCACCGATCCAGAGTTTTCCATCGGCAGTTGAAACTGCACGCATGTTTGGGATATTGTGAGACTTCATGGCCTCCCTGCCACCCGTGTGTCTGATAGAGGGGTGCAATTTACCTCTCGGTTTTGGAGGGCCTTATGTCAAGCACTGGGAATTCAATTATGCCTGTCTTCCGCTTATCACCCACAATCCAATGGACAGACTGAGAGGACGAACCAGACGTTGGAGCAATACCTGCGTTGTTTTCCCAGGAGGATAGGTCTTCGCTACTTTCCTTGGCGGAATTCGCTTATAATAATTTGGTTCACTCCTCATCCAAGCAATCTCCTTTTTTTTTCCAATTATGGATTTCACCCGGCCTTTCTTCCACTTACCTTGCCCGCTTCCGCATTGCCGGCAGTTCAGAATACACTGGAATTTCTCACTGTCAACAACCGCGTATTACAGGATGCTATTTTCAAGGCTGTGGGTGACGGCAAGAAATACTTTGATAAAGGCCGGAGGGGAGATCTGAACCTAAATCAAGGGGACCGTGTTTGGCTGTCTATGGCCAATCTGAAACTGGCCTGTCCTTCTAAAAAATTAGGTCCAAAGTTTATCGGTCCTTTTTCTGTGGAAAGTAAGATCAATTCTGTGGCCTACAAGCTGACCCTCCCGGCTACGTACAGAATCCATCCAGTGTTTCACGTCTCCCTCTTAAAGAAAGATGTTGCCAACTCGTTCCGTGATCGCTCCCCTGCGGTTCCGGAGCCTGTTATGGTGTATGGCGAACAGAAGTTTGAGGTGGAATCTATTGTGGATTGCAGGAAATGGAGAGAGGTGACTCAGTTCTTGATTAAATGGAAGGGGTATGGACCTGAGGATAATTCATGGGA